GAGGGAGGCGGGTCAGTCGAGCGTGAGCAGTGGCGGTCGAGCTACAGATGCACGTGTTGCTCCAGTTGTGATGGTCGCAGGCCGTGCAGGTGTCGCAGGTGGAGCAGAGGCAGCAGCAGCAGCAGCAGCAGCGGCAGCAGCACGAGCAGGAGCGGCGCCGCCACACACTAGCGCCCCTGGCGGCGTCCGGCGCTGCGCCTTGCCTAAAATGGCGGTGTTGGGGCTCGGCGCGCGCGGCCGCGGTTAGTGTGACGGAGCATGTGCCCGCGGCGCCCGGCCGCTCTCGCTCCCCCTGCTGCTGCTGCTGCCGCTGCCCGTCGCCGCGCCTCTCCTGCTCAGCCTCCACAGCTGCAGCAGCCTTCAGCCCCGGCCCGAGTGGGAATAGTGACTGCGGACGCGCACAGGCGCCGAGAGCGCGGGTGGAGGGGCAGCCGCAGCCGCAGCCGCAGCAGCCCGCGAGACCTTAGTGATCAGTGTTAGCGTGAAGCCCTTCTTCAGCAGCAGCGCCACGTGTAGCGCGCCCTGCCCGCCCACCGCGCCCGTGGCTGCCAGCAGCTGCAGCAGGGGCGGCCCCCACCATGGCCTCCACCGGGCAGGCGAGCGGCTCCAACAAGGCTATGAACGGCGGCCGCTTTGACTTCGACGACGGCGGCACGTACTGCGGCGGCTGGGAGGACGGCAAGGCCCACGGTAACGGCGTGTGCACGGGGCCCAAGGGCCAGGGCGAGTACTCGGGCTCCTGGCACTACGGCTTCGAGGTCAGCGGCGTCTACACTTGGCCCAGGTAAGTCAGCTCCTCCCGCAGGCCCGCGCGGGGGCCAGGGGCACACACTCACACAGGGGCGTCCTCCTCGCGGCCGGAACCCCCCGGCGGCAGCGAAGGAGTCGTGCGAGCGGGGGGAGGGGGGGGCGGCACGTGACTCGGCCGCAGGTGAGCAACAGAAACATGATCCAAGGAGGCGAAGGACGGGTCAGCGCTGAGCGCGAGGGCGCCGCCTCAGCACTCGGCTCACATGGCCCTGGTCGGGCGCGCCGACGACTGCTGACGTGTCTCGTACCTGCGCGACCAGGCAATTGCAATAATGCTTTTTCCCGCGTGACAAAAATGGTCAGTTGAAGAGGAGGGAGGGAAGGGGGAGGGAAGGGGAGGGGCGTGGTATCGGCTTTGCTCTCATCTACTTCAATGACTCAGAGAGAGAGAGAGAGAGAGAGAGAGAGAGAGAGAGAGAGAGAGAGAGAGAGAGAGAGAGAGAGAGAGAGAGAGAGAGAGAGAGAGAGAAAGAAAGTCGAAGACGAAGACGAAGAAGACGGGAGGAAAAAATCGAGAAAACAGATAAGAAAAATACCTCTAGAATGGCACCGAAAAGCCTTAAAGGGGAAAACACACAAGCATGACAAACACAGTGACAAGAAAAAGAGTGACGATAAGAAAACAACAAAAACTACATCCTGGGAAGCACATCGATACATCTCCAACTCAACACCCTCAGCTGAGCCAAGTCCATCAACATTCTATCGAAAGAGAGAGAGAGAGAGAGAGAGAGAGAGAGAGAGAGAGAGAGAGAGAGAGAGAGAGAGAAGAGAGGAGAGAGAGAGAGAGAGAGAGAGAGAGAGAGAGAGAGAGAAGTGTATTGATAACTTCAAACACCTCCCTTGTGTTGTTACTCTTGCTAAACCCACGCGGTCACTGTGTTATCGACGTTATTCTCTGTTCGCTATATAACGTTTTGAGCAAAGCGTGACGTCATCTCTATGTCTCAGTGTGTCTACCTCTCTCTCTCTCTCTCTCTCTCTCTCTCTCTCTCTCTCTCTCTCTCTCTCTCTCTCTCTCTCTCTCTCTCTCTCTCTCTCTCTCTCTCTATCTATCTATCTCTCCTTTGGCTTAACCTGTAATTAAATGGGTGATATTGACGACGTGATTTTGGCAAGGGGACAAAAGGTGAATGAGAGAGAGAGAGAGAGAGGAAGAGAAGAGAGAGAGAGAGAGAGAGAGAGAGAGAGAGAGAGAGAGAGAGAGAGAGAGAGAGAGAGAGAATGTAGACCTTCTGATATCCAAACACACTTACATGCATACAGACACACAGACAGAAAGGAAAAAAAGATAGAAAAAGGGAGAGAGAGAAAGCGAGAAAAAAGAAAAGGAGAAAGATAGAAAAGAGAGAAGCTTAAAGAAAGAAAAAAAAGAGAGAAAAATAGCCAACATTCTTGTGCTTGTGCTTACTCTGTCTCGAAGCCAATTTGTATAACCGTTTCGAACCATCGCTTCTGAAATGTCAGACACACGCACGTAAAAAAGAAGTTAATATATCTTTATCGCCTTATTTTAACGTGTTAAAAACAGGAATACTATGCTAACTAAACCCATGATATACCAAAACAACAGTGAAAAGTGTGATGGGAATGGAACTAAAGGAAATAAATGATAAACAGAGAAGAAAGGAAACGAAACAGCAAAACAAAACGAAGCAGTTGTGTGAAGCCTCACGGTGGCTCGAGAGAAAAACCTTGACATAATTAGAATCGAGTAGAAAACCGGAGAAAGAAAGAGAGAGAGAGAAAAAAAAAACGATAAAAGAAAAACAAAAGAAAAGAGAAAACAACATTAATCTTTTCAAGGTAGTTTTGGATCATTGGTTTTATTGCTGTCTTTTGTGTGTTTCGTTTATTTTTCTGTTATTATCGTCATTATTCCTTTTTCTCTCGAATTGTTATCGTTTTTGTTATTGTTTTTCTTCTATTTTCTCTTCTCCTTGATGTTACGATGATGATGTTTTCTTATTATTATATCAGGGTTTTTAATATTGCTATGATATTGTTATTATTATTGTTATTATTATTATTATTATTATTATTATTATTATTATCATTATTATTATTTTCATTATTATTATTATTATTATTATTATTATTATTATTATTATTATTATTGTTATTATGATTATTGTTATTATTGTTATATCATTATTTGTTATTTTTTATTATTATTATTATCTTAATTATTTATTACTATTATTTATTATTATTAATTATTTATTATTATTATTATTAATTATTATTATTATTATTATTATTTTTATTATTATTATTTTTACTATTATTAATTATTGTTGTTGTTATTATTGTTAACATCATCATCATCATTATTATTATTATTGTTTTTAATGTACCCATTATGTTGTTTTCATTATTGTTATTGTTTTTGGTGTTATCATGGTTCTGGAATTGTTTGATGATTATAATAATAGTAATAGTAATTATTATTATTGTTATTGTAAATATTGTTTTTAATATTATCATTATTATTATTATTATTATTATTATTATTATTATTATTATTATTATTAGCAGTAGTAGTAGTAGTACCATTATTATCAATGTAATCATTATCATCATTATAATTATAATAATAATATAATTATTATTATTATTGTTATTATTATCCTCATTATAATAATTGTTAATTATCTTATATTTAAATTATTATTGTTGTTATTATTATCATATATCATTTATGCATTTATTATTTATTATTCAATTATTAATTAATTCATTGATGTTATTCATTTATTTATTTAGATTATTATGATTTTATTATAAATATCATTATCATATCATCATCATATTATTATGTTATTATTATTATTATTTATTATTTATTTATTATTATTATCATTATTATTATTATTATTATTATTATATTATTATTATTATTATTAATTGTTATTATTATTATTTTATTATATTATTATTATTAATATTATTATTAATTATTATTATTATTATTATATATTATTATTATTATTATTATTATTATTACTGTTATTATTGTTAGCATTATCACTTCACTACGCTAAGGATACCAAATGAAGCAAAAATGAAACATTTGAAAAAGGTGTGAGAAGAAAGATGATGAGATAAACATATAAGAACGAAAAGAAAAAAGAAAAAAAAAGAAAAATGAAAAAAGAAAATGGAAAAAAATCTACGAAAAAGGGATGAACAAAGAAAAAAAAGAAAAAGGAAAAAAAAAAGAAAAGAAGAAAAGAGAAGAGAAAAAAAAGTGGAAAATGTAATGAAAAGGAAAACAATAGTAATAATAATAATAATAATAAAAAATAAATTGTTTATCCATTCACTTATTCATTTTTTAATTTTTTTATTTGTATATATTATATTCACTTGTTTATCAAAACTCTCCGTTTACTTGATTGCATTTCAAGCAAAAAAAACAAACAAACAATAATGAAATATTGGTGAAAAGTGAGAATAATTTTAGTGAAGGTGATTGTGGATACGCTGATGGTGACTTTGCTGTGAAACGGATGTGTACTGAAAATGTGTGAATATGTGTCTCTACAGTGTCCCCTTAGACG